AAAGGCACAAGGTACTGACTGACATTTGGGGAAAATGTCATAACAATAGCAGCCACTGTTTACTGAGCATTTGTTATGCAGGCTGTGAACAACAAATAGGATCAAGGCTTACATCCTCCAAAACTTTCTTGGGAATATATCTTAGCAGCCTAAATGCCTGCCTAGCAAGCATGAGGTTATGAGTTCGATTCCTGGTACAAAAAAAAAGTTTTTACTGTACTTGCGCATTGCAGCACATGCCATAATGCCAGCACTCAGTAAGCTGAGGCAGGAAGATTGATTGGAGTTTGAAGCCAGCCTCATCTGCATAGTGTGTTCAAGGGTAGCCTGCACTACTTAGCCAGACCCAGTCTCAAAAAAAAAAAAAAAGACCATAAAAGTTAAATGTTTTGAATTGATTCAGGATATCAAGGCTGTCAGAACTGTGCAACTAAAGACAGAAAAGAGAATTTCCAGGACTACTTCAGAAAGTGGCAACAACAATAGGATGAGTGTGCTCAAAGCGAAGGAGAGGCCAGGTATGCTGGCACAAGCCTGTAATCCCAGTACTCTGGAGGCTGAGACAGGAGGATCATTGCAAGTCTGAGACCAGCCTGAGCTACAAAGTGATCTCAAGGCCAGCCTGCGCTGCACAGTGAGACCCTGTCTGGAAAAAAAAAAAATTAATGCTAACGTGTCTTTATTGTAATAAACATTTAAACATAAGCATTCACTGTATTTTATGACCGCACTTCATCTGCCAGTCTCGGTTCCAAGGACTTTGGGTGTAGGTGTTGTTAGGGTGACAACTTTTTATTTAAGGAAAGTGAGGGTTTGAGATACGAAGTTACCTGCTCAAGATCACCTAGCCAGGAGGTAGAAGAGCCAGAGGCCCGTGGATCTTTAGACACTGGTCTCCCCTTATTTCCTCCTTCCCCAGTTTTGTTTTGGAACTTGAGGCCCAGAGAGCCCACGAGGCCCTGCGCTGGGCCACCAGGTATTTGGGATGGAGAGCAGTGGCCACTGCAGTGTTGGGTGGTTGATGGGACATGGCTTCCTAACTGGGGGTAGGAGTAGGAGACTTGGGGGGCTGGGGATTTAGCTCAGGGGCACAGCGCCTGCCTGGCAAGCACAAGGTTGTGAGTTCGATTCCCGGTAATGGAAAAAAAAAGAGAGTAGGAGACTGGGGTCACACGTGGGTGTGTGGCCTGGGGAAGACACGTGCAATGGGGACACCCCCAAGTTGGAAGTCAGTAGCATGAGAAAGAGTTGGGGTGTTTGGGGAAACGTGGCTGTGTATCTTGGGGGAGATGGCTGGCAGGAGGCCGTGCAGGATCCTTGTGTGGTGCCCGCAGGCAGCGCAGGCCCAGAACACGGCTGCCCAAGATATGCGGGTCCTGGCTCGGGTGATGTCTGAGTATCTTCCCCTCAATCACCCGTAACTTAAACAGACTGGAGAGGTGGCTTCTCCCTCAGAAACAGCGAAGCTTGTCTGGAGTGTCCCTTAAATGCTTTGCTGTGCAGGAAGGTGACAGCTGGAGCGGGCTGGAAGCACAGGAGGCCTTGTTTTCCACAAGAGTCTTTATTAAAGTGTAAATCCAAGCTCAGGCCTCCCCTGGGCCCCATGCAAAGCCCCTGCATCGGGCCTGGCGGCGTCCTCCACACACCAACCCCTCAAGGCGCCTCGAGCGGTGGCGTCCAGCCAGTGCAGGGCGGCGCCATATCTAGTTAACTACAAGTCCCAGCAGACCCCGCGGCCAAGGTACCCGGGTCTTTCTTGGACTCCTAGAGCAGAGCCTCTTGGGAAATGTAGTCCCGGCCGCTAGGGCAAATTAGCGGTTCCCCTGATGGGCATGATCCTCACACCCACCCGGAAACGGCTCGTGGCAGAGATGGGGAGTGGACGGGATGGACGGGAGATGGAAGATGGAGCGGGGCAGAGGGCTGCTTGGGGTGGGGGCGGCGTCCCTCTCATTCGGCTTTGGCTTTGGCTCCAGAGACTGTGGCTGCTGCTGAGGCGAGGGCTCCCGTTCCTGGGATCTTAGCTCGGATCCTGTGGGAGAAAAGCTTGCGCTAACGGGGTGTGGCAAGACACGGCGGAGCAGGCACGGGAGACTCATGGAAAGCTCGGTGGGGGGCAGCTGAGTGCCCCGGACAGGCCCCAGCCCTCCAACTGAGGACCCGGAATGAGCTGTCACTGGTTCCGCGAAGGGGACACTCAGCGCCAGCTTTGTGCGCAGGGAGTGTTGCGAGAAAAGGCTCCCCGCCCCACCCCCCTGCCCGCAGCCTCATGCTTACTTAGCTTTGATGTGGCTCAATTGATTGGTCACCAACCCCACATACTGGTCGATCTGGGCCTGGGAATATCAAGCAGGAGTGAGAGAAGGGACTGGAAGAGGTCCTTCTCCTTAATTCACGGAGGAGACTGCTTCCTCCCCTTGCCCCCCCCCACGCCAAGGGGCTGGGGGTGTGGCCGCCTGCTCCACCTGCCACTCTGAACCCAGTCTGATGCCCTCGGGCATCTGCAGCTCCAGCTGTAGGCTTGGTGGCTTGGGCCCTGCTCTGTGTAAGGAGTGACATCATGTGGACTCCAAGTATCTGTCAGCGGGCCTGCTCCAGAGCACCAGGGTAAATTTTCACTGAGTCCTGTGTTGCGGGGTGCAAAAGCAAGTTGCCAGTGGATCAATCTGCACTCTAATTTTTTTTTTTTTTTTTTTGTCTTTTTGAGACAGGGTCTCACTATGCAGTTCACGCTGGCCTTCAGTTCACTTTGTAGCCCAGGCTGGTTTCAAACTTGCAATGATCCTCCTGCCTCAGCCTCCTGAGTGCTGGGATTACAGGCATGCACCACCATGCTTGGCTGATAGTAGTTTAATTTAAAATTTGGTTGAATTTGGAGTCTCAGGGATTCAGGTCTGTGGGGAGTTAACTAGGTCTATGTGTCTAGTCTATGTGTCTAGCAGGGTATGTTATGCTCTGGCTCTCAGCTGGACTGAGAAGGGAATGTGCATCAGTCCGCCTGTCCTTAGATAGGATGGCTGTCCCTCAGTCCTGGTTACGCCAGAGTGCCATTCCATCCAATTCTGAGTGGCACAGGGTGGATGCCAGCTGCTTTAGGCCATGAGGACATCACCAGTCTGTCTGTCTGTCTGTCTGTCTGTCTGTCCTGGGCTGGGCTGGGTGGGCGGCAGTCAGATCCATAATGTGTGTCTGTCAGTCTCTGGTACCCAGGGAGAAGGCATTCATCTATCTGCCTGCTTCTGGCTGGAATGTGTGAAAGAGAAAAGCTGTAAGTCAGGCTTTTGCTGTGTGGTGAGGACATGTAAATAAGTGAGACATTGGACACATCATGGGGTCTGAGTGTCACTTGGCCACCTGTGTCAGTTCATCATAGGTGGAGGCATGTCAGTCAGATCCTTAATCGTTCTTTTTTTTTCCCCTCGATCTTTCTTTTTTTTTTTTTATCGTTCTTTTCTTCTTTTTTTTTTTCCCCTCGATCTTTCTTGAGACATCAACCAAAATACCTGCCCAGCCCCAAGTGTGGTGGCCCATGCCTATAATCCCAGCACTCTAGGAGGCTGAGGCAGGAGGATCGAAAGTTCCAGCCCAGCCTGGGCAATTTAGCAGGATCCTGTCTCAGAATAGAAAATAAAAGGACTAGGGATATAGCTCAGTGGGTTAAATCCCCAGTACCAGGAGTAGGGGAGAGCCAGTCTCTGGCTATTGAGACATACTGATGTTAGACTGTAGTTCTCACAAGGAGGGGCAGCAGTCAGCACACCTGGGTCTGGCGGGGACATCTGTCTGTGGGGCCCTGGGTCTGGAGGGAGGCAGTTAGACCACCTGTATTCGGTAACAGGGGACTTGTCACACCCACCTGGTGTTGCCGGTACAGCAGGGGGACAGTGAATAAAGCGATCACTCCTGTGGGCACAGAGATGGGATCAGGGTTTTTCCAGGACACTCACAGCTCCTCCTGGAGCACTGTCCCCCATCAAACCCCAACAACCCTCCTCCCAACCTTGCCCCTTCCTAGCAGATTCCCCAGCTCACCCAGAATGAGAAGAGTTAGGCCATTGAAGACGGCACCAACAAAGGTCAGGATGTAGAAGAGGAGGGCCAGCTGTGGGTGAGGGTCATGATCAGCAGGGCCCACAGGCTGTGAACTTACCCAGCCATGGTCCCCCCTTCCCCGGGGGCATAGAGATAACCACCATGGGAAGCCGAGGTAGGGGATTTCCGGTCACCTTAAGGGAATCCACCAGGTCTTCTACCAGGAAGAAATGCCGCAGCTGCGTGGCCGTGGAGACCACGTGGGAGGCGATCTGCTGGGACAAATGTTCTGTCTGCTCCCGAGTCAGGGTCAGGTCCACATCAAGGTAGGCCCTGATGGGACAAAGGGGTGGCAACACTTCAGTGGGTGCGTGGGGCTCAGACTGAGAGGAAGTGGCTGAAACAAGGGCAATAAAGAAGGCGTGGGGGAAACAGCAGTTAAGATTGAGGGATGAATTGAACCACATGCAGAGGGCTGGGGTCAACGCCAGGATCGGGGAAAGAAATCAGGGATTAAGGGGCTGAGGCAAACCTCTTCAGATCAGAGTTTAGGGCTGGGGGCTGGGAGTCCGAACCTGATTTATGGGCCGGGGATATAGCTCAATGGCACAGCACCTGCCTGGCAAGTGTGAAGTCGTGAGTTCAAGTCCCGGTACCAAAAAAAAAAAGAAAGAAAGAAAAAAAAAAAGAACGAAAGAAAATGGAAAGACTGAGCCAAGGATGTAGCTCAGTGACATAAGCGCTTGCCTGGCAAGCCTGAGATCATGAGCTCGATTCCCGGTACCAAAAAAAAAAAAAAAAAAGAATCTGATTTACAACCAGGGGCAGGATAGAGGGTCAGAAGAGACAAAGATGAGGACAGGTCAGGGTCAGGGTGAGAACCAGGGTCTTGCGCGAGCTCATGGTGAGGGTGTTACAGGTCGGAGCTGGGATGTGATAGGGCTTCGGGCCAGGGGTTCTCACTGGAAGGGGTTGGCTCCATCCCCCCGGTGCACAGCCTGCAGCACTTTGCGGTAGACCCTGAGAGAGATGGTGCCACAGAGCAGCAGCAGAGCCACGTGCGCCGCCACGGACACGATGCTGAAGTGCAGGAGGCAGAGGAGGGAGACCATGAGGCCTGTGAAGACCACTCCCGACGTCCTGGTGTCCTTCCAGTACAGCAGGTCCGCCACTGGGGACAGGGGCAGGCATCGGGCTGGGGCTGGGACCGACCCCGGGGCTGGGACCCGGCCCAGTCCGGCTGACCTCCTGACCCGTTTCCCATCCCATCAGAGCCCCAACCCAACTTCCACATTTTCAGCATTTCCCAGGAAACCCAAGTTAATCATTTAGCAAATCCTCTAAACCTTACTCTGTCCCATGTAATTACACGGGACACACAAATGCGTACCCGCATGCCTTGGCCATTATTTAATGAAAATTGGATACACTTTTCTGCAGCATGCGTATCTCCCCCCGCACCCCTGTACCAGGAATCGAACTCACGACATTCCACTTGCCAGGCAGGCGCGGTGCCGCTGAGCTAAATCCCCAGCCCCTAGCACGCATATCTCACTCAACTTGCCTCCTAGAATTTCCTCCCAGTCAACTGGAAGTTTTGTTTTGTTTTCCGGCAATGGAGATGGAACCCAGGGCCTTCTGCATGCTGGGCAAGCGCCCCATCACTTAGCTAGCTCCCCGGCCCTGAATAGTTCTTTAATCCATTTTGGTTTTCTTTGTGGCACTGGGGATTGAACCCAAATACTCTCTCACCGAGTTACATCCTTAGCCTTATTTATTTATATTTTGAGGCAGGTTCTTGCTAAACTGCCCTGGCTGACCTCGAACTTGTGATCTCTCATGCCACAGCCTCCAAGTAGCTAGGATTACAGGCATGCACTGCCACATTCAGCTTCTTGATTCACCGTGTTGTTGTGGGTTTTTTTTTGTTTTGTTTTGTTTTTTTATTGTTTTTGTCTCTTTGAGACAGGGTCTCACTCTGCAGTTCAGGCTAGCCTTGAGCTGACTTTGTAGCCCAGGCTGGTCTCTTGAACTCTCAAGGAATCTCCTGCTTCACCCTCCTGAGTGCTGGGATTACAGGCATACACCACCACACCTGACGATTCATTGTTTTTAAAAGCTGTAGGAAGCTGGGTGTGGTGGCACACACCTGTAATCCCAGCACTCATGAGGCTGAGGCAGGAGGATAGTTGTGAGCTCGAGACCAGCCTGGGATACAAAGTGAGCTCAAGGCCAGTCTGAACTGGAGAGTGTGACCCTGTCTCAAAAAGAGATAAAATAAATAAATAAATAAAAGCTATAGGAAGTTGGTATGGGTGTCTACCTAGCCTGTAATTCTAACACTTGGAAGGCTGAGGCAGGAGGGCTGACCTGGGTTACATAGTTAGACCCTGTTTTTTTAAAAAAGGAAAGAGGAAATAAAAAGAAAAAGAGACATGATATTTCATACTGTGCCTGTGCCATCATTTGTTGTATTGAAACTTGGTCCTATCCTTGGGTAATTTTTCCTAATCTCTCCCCTCAAACAGATTGGCAAAGAACATTCTTCCATAGATATTCTTATCTCCTGGAGCTTCTATTTCTGAGACAGAATTACAAGGGGATGCTGGGCATGGTGGCCCATGCCCTCCTGTCTCAGCCTCCCGAGTGCTGGGAGGCTGAGACAGGAGGGCTGTTTCGAGTTCAAGACCACCCTGGGCTACAAAGTGAACACAAGGCCAGCCTGAACTGCATAGTGAGACCCTGTCTCAAAAACACACACACAAAAAAAAAAAATCACAGGGGAGTAATTGCTGGGTAGCTGGTTGTGTATTTTTTTTTAACTTAATCTGTATATTTTGTCAGATTGTTTACTAGCAGGATGAACAATGCTTTGTAGGTTTTTGTTTGCTTTGCTTTGCTTTGTTTTTTTGTTTGTTTGTTTGTTTTAGGCAGGGTCTTGCTATATAGTCCAGGCTGGCCTTGTAGCTCATAATTGCTCAAACTCCTGGTGATCCTCCTGTCTCAGCCTCCCCAGTGCTGGGATTACAGGCATGTGCCCCTACGCCAGGCTATGATTAACAATTTTTATTTCCACAAACCATGTAAGAGTGATCTTTTCCCAGCAGCCTGCCCAGCAATGGATGTTGTGGGGTTTTTTTTCATCTTTGCCAGCCTGACAGTGCAGAGTGGGAAGGCCTTGACATCCTTACCAACACGTGGGTGTCCTAAGTCCTAAATGTATTAATAACACCATCGCCTATCTAAACCCAAACTCAAGTTTCTGACTATAAACTCACTTCCCAGTCTGAGCCCTGACCATGACCTCGACTGCAGTGTTGTATCTCACTCATCTAAATTTCCATGTCTGGAAGGACCCACGGCAATGTGAGCCCATCTTGGGGTTCAGTATCCTTCTATTCCTCCACTTTCCCCATCCTCCAGTCAAAGGGACCATCCATGGACTGCTCCCGCTTCTATGCACATTCTCCCATTTACCTCTAAATGGGGCGGCCACCTCCATCCCCAACACAGGGCCCTCCCCGCTCCCAGGCAGGTTCCCCAAGCCCAAGCCAGCGCGTGGGGGAGGGGCCGGGTCGCCCGAGGCGGGGGCTAAGTTTAGGCACGCTGGGGGAGGGGGCCTGGCCCGCAGCTGTGCTGGCCTGTCCAGCCCCTGAGTGACAGCGCCTCCTGGGCCTGAGGTTGGAGGAGGGGGTCTCCCCGCTCCTGGTATCCAAAGCCCTGGTTTGGTGGAGAGCGGACCCCACAGTCCCTCCCCACCCTCCCTGGACCCCTCCCTCAGCCCACCAGCCTCAGCCTGTGGCGCTGGGGAATCCAGGGCCAGTAGGAACCATGCCCCAGATTGGAGGGAGATAAAAGCGAATACGGACACCTTTCTGCTGTCAGCCACCCCCAGCCCCAAGCCGCCCCGCAAGCCCACCTTTACTCCCCATCTTGGCTCGAGAGAGAGGCTGCGGACACCGCTGCTTCTTGGGGATTTCGCCCACTTCAGTGGGATTCAGAGGGAGGGAGGAAGGGGAGGGGCTGCTTTGTACCCAGCCAATGACCAGCCGTAGAGGTGGGGACAATTCCAAAATTGGAACTCTTTGTAAACAGCCAACAACTGTGATGTCTGTAACCAACCTGTGTCTGGTCTTGGAGGTGGAGCCTATTTTAAAGAAAGGCTGGGTCTATTTACAACTGGCCAATAGATGAGGTCAGGGAAGAGGAGAATATTTTTTTGTGTGTGTAGAGTTGGAAAAGTCCCATATCCACGTCCAGGAAAGATCTTTATTTTTACAGATACTGGCTTGTCTATTATCAGCATGTAGGGGGAGCATTCCTAAAGACAGAAAATTATTTTTTAGCAATGAGCCAATTTTTTTTTTTTTTCTTCTTGGGACAGAGTCTCGCTATACAGTTCAGGCAGGCCTTGAGCTCACTTTGTAGCCCAGGTTGGTCTCAAACTTGCAATGATCCTCCTGCCTCAGCCTCCTGAGTGCTGGGATTACAGACGTGCGCCACCATGCCCGGCTCAATCAGCCAATCTTAATGCTGCAAGGAAGGCTAACTTCTCAAGTGGGTCAGGAACTATTTAGAAAGAGACAGTGGTATTCTCAGATAATAGGAAAAATTTTAAGGGGCGGAATTTAGAATGTCTCCCCCTTCTCCACTGTGCTCTGTTCCTTTAAATCCCAATCCTCTCACCCCTTAGAGCGCCCTGGCTCAAGAGCTACTTACCCAAAGGGTGTGGCTCCAGCCTGAATTCTGATTGGTCCGTGCTGTCGAGACACTGTCCTGTGGTTGGCTCCTGCTCGGGTGGCCCACGGCACTCCTCCTCTTCCAGCGTGGGCTCTTTAGGCCCTGAGTTCAAGTCTTGGGGTCTGGGTGTGGACGGGGTCCCAGAGCCAGAAATTGGAATGGGATGGGGAGTCACGACTTCAGGCTGCGAGGACTGAGCAAGTTGGAGTTGTAGGTCCAGTTCTGTCAGTGGTAGAGAGCAAAGGCCATGAGCTTTCTCCGTGGAGGTGCCCCGCGGAGGGCCCACCCACCTTTTGTGGCGTAGGTCCCAGCAACTCCGACATCTCACCTTCTCTGGTCTCTCCCGCCTCCAATCTGTCGGGTTCCTCGTCTTCCAGTGGAGTGGAGCTGCTGGTGGCGGAGTCCTCCCCAGACTCCGCTCCCTGGGCAGCCCAGCCAAGCTGGTCCAGCCGGAGCCTCAGATCCTCCAGTGGACGCTCGGCTGGAGGGACGGTGTCAGGGTCACCGTGGCGTCCAGGCTCGGGGGATTGGCTCAGGCTGGGGATGCTCTCCAAGCTGTCTCCCAGGCCAGACTGTGGGGGCAGGTCTCGCGGTTCAGAGACTGAGCGTCCCTGGGGCCTGGGGCGGCGGGCAACTGAATCCCTGCGGGCCCCGGAGCCCACAACACCATCAAAAGCGATGTAGGAGAAGGTCAGCTCCCTCGGGGTGCCCCAGTCCTGCGACGTGGTCTCCTCTTCGTCGTCCTCCGAGAATTCCCGGGCTGTGTGCAGCTCCCGAAAATCTGAGTCGTCATTGCCTCCTCCAGTGGGCAAAGCAGTACCATGAGCTTCTTGGAGCAGAAACCTGAGCTGCCCAGGTGGTGAAGCCCTTGAAAGCCCGGCCCTCGAATCCACCCCTTCACTTACCTTCTGTGGAATCGGGGGTAGAAGAGGCTGTAGATGGAGCTTCCTCTGTGAGAAGGAAAGAACCGAAGACTCTTAGAAGCTTAGACTGTCCGAATCACAGAAGTGTGGCAGTCCCGGAATCTCAGATGGTCTGAATTACGGAATCTTAGAATATTTGGAACACAGGACCTTTAGGACATTCTGCATTCACATTGTACTGTCAGAAGCTCAGAGTCTTAGAAGTTCATATCCAGGAATCTTAATCTTAAGAGTCTTTGTATTAGGGATCTCAGGAGGTTTCAATTCACTCTTTCAACATAGACCGAGCACCTACTATATGCCAGACAGTGTTCTAGGCCCTGGGGAACATAGCTATGAACAAAACAGACAATCCCTGCCTTGTAGAGTTTACAACCTATGGGAAAGATAATAAGTAAATAAAGTTTGGGTCCTAATAAGTGGAGAAGGCAAATAAAGCAGGGTAAGGGAAGAGAAAAAGAAGGAGCCCTGTTTCAGACACAGTGATCAAGAAGGCTTCTCTGATAAGATGATGTTTAAGCAGAGACCTGAAGAGAGGGAGAAAGCTATGAAGACATCTAGGGAAAAGTCTTCCAGGCAGATGGGACAGCCAGAGCAAAGTCCCTGAGGTAAGTACAAGGCTTGGCATCTGTGAGGAACCCCGACATATGCAGATGTGACTGGGGTGGGGGGGAGACCTAGGGGACTCTGTAATCTGAGGTAAGGACAAGATCTTAGAATTAGGGATGAGACTAAAGTGAAATCGCAAATCTTTAAGATTTGGGTATTTGGACACTTAAGGCATGCAAATGGTGAGCGTGTCACCATCCCCAGCTGTCAGAAGCACCTTGTGTGGGACAGAGGATAGTAAACAAGGTCTGACAGAGACCTAGGCTCAGAGGTCCAAAGATCCAACCTGGTATTTTCTGCCGGAGCTCCAGCCCCTCAGAGCTGACTTGAGCTGTGCACAAGGAGACGCTCAACGATGCTCAGCACCATTTGGAAATTCAGTCAGACCCCCAGGCCCCACCTCGTTTCTTCAACTGGGGAATCAGAAGCCTGGAATGGAGTAGTTCTTTCCCAGGGTTAACGCTAATGGGTGAAAGAGCCCTCTAAAGACCCGGAGTCCTGGCACCAACCCAGCGATAGCTGTTTTCTGGGGACAGGGGCTTGGACAACCAGGCGAGGTTAAGGCTGCCTCCTGGGCAAGAGACGAGGGTGGGATGCAAAGACAGTCGATGGGAGTCAGACCCCTCTTCTCTAGCCTGGCTTGCCCCTCGGTTCAACCCCCTCCCAGCCAGCTGTGGCCAGCACCAGGGCCCGGGGACAGCTCCCCGCGCGCTGCTGTACCCCCAGGCTGGGCGGGGCGACACCTCAGCGCCCAGGGCGCCCAGGGCGCCCAGGGCCAGCGACCCCAGAGGCCCCCTCCTCCACCCGGTTTCACCCTGGTCTTCCGGGTCAGACTGCCCCCGTTGCCGTCAGAGCGCGGGGAGAGGGGGGAGGGGACAGCTTCCTTTGTCTCCTTCGCCTCCTTCTCTCATCTCGGCTCTCTTGCCGCAAAGCGCGCGGGGAAAAACAGAGGGACCCTCCTCCGGCCGCCAGGCCCTACTCCAGGCCCAAACCTCCCTCTACTCACTGCAGTGGGCGAAGACCGGCAGGACCTGCCCCATGGCCCCCCTCGGGCCTGCATCGGGACCCCCGCCCACACCGGCCGCGCCGCCCTGGGCCTGGGGCCGCGGTGGCTCATCCTCGCCGTGCCCACGACGACGCTGCCATCCTCGCCGCTGCCTCCTCCAGGGCTGCTCCC